ATTGTCATCATGGCAAGGCGGGTCTGCGTCGCAATATGAACACTTTTCCTCTCTGCTCGGAGCTACTGCGGCAGAGCCATTTACCTCGCTGGATCTCTTCAAGGATGTCAACCAACCCCTCCACGAGGACACCACCAATGTCAGGTACAACAACTTACTGTTGGCGTGTTCTACTTTCTCTGGTGGTGGTCTTTGCGTACAGTCTGAGGGCGGAGATGTTGGTCGTGACGTGGAAGGGACTTCTTTGCCTGGAGTTGTGGTTCCATGGGTAGATGGGAAGATTTCCCTCGCGGCATACACCATTTCTCAGGATGGAAAATATATTCGACCCGGCAGACAAGAAAAAACTGCAGTCTTGAAGAGTTGAGAAGGAGGAGCAGCCCTTGAAAAAGGACCTGCCTACCAGTCAGTTGGTGCGGGGGTGGGGGGGTGGGGGGGTCGGGCTGCGATGGTTGGAGAGTTTGGCGTCGGATGAGTTTGTGGGTGGTTTCAGGAAATGCTCTCCTGAAAAAGACCCGTGACTTCGCTGGCAGACTGAGAGAGGGTTCAATTTTTTTTCTGGCCTCCATTCCGCAGGCTTGCCGCAGGGCCTTTGTTCCCGGAAACGGGGTTCGAGTCTTTGAGCGAAGGTTGGTTTAGGATACTGCCGGATCCAATGTGTGCAAGAGAGATGATCCCTCACCAGCCTTTCTATTTGAGGGCTATGGCCCAAACTCTAAAAATTCTTGAAACAGGGAAATCTACGTCTGTAATGGCGTCGAAGCGGGACACCTGGCACCAATTGGCCGCTCAGGCAGTGATACTAAAACCAGGCAATGATTTTCGTGTGGTTCATGACGGCGCCCATAAGGTGCAGGTGAACAACGAGGTCGTCGTGGAGGACCGCCTGGAACCCCCTGGAGCGCGTGAGATATCTGCCCTTCAGAAACTTGGACCCGTTGTTGATGAAAAGGTTTGTTTGGGATCGCTGGGGATGGTTCGAAGGCCCGTAGGAGGTGCCTCCACCATCCTCAGCACGGGGGTGTTCTTGCGTGCAAGACACGGGCCAACTCCCCGGGTGGTCTGGTTAAATCGTACGGGAACCTTCGGGGTGGCCTCTGCATTGTCTTGGTTCTCCAGACTGATTGGTTTGGGGGGCAGATTGGCCTTTCGTGTGATGCTGGAATCTTTCATCTTCATGCTGGTTTATGCGGATGACCTCCATCTGGTGAGTGGGGGCTGGGAACGATGGCTCCATATCTGGACCATGCTGGCTTTGTTGTGCGTGCAAGGCACTCCCTTTTCAGATCACAAATGGCCGGGGGGGGGACTGCGTGTTGACTGGGTCGGCTACTGAATTAACTACACTCGTTTTCATTTGGGGATATCTGAAAAGAGGTGTCTCTGGATCATTTCGAGCGTTGAAGGCGTTGAGGGCAATGGCTGGTTAGTTGATGCCCGCAGGTTCCACGAGCTCCATGGACGACTTGGCTTCATGTCCCAGGTCTTGGTTTGGATCAGACCCTTCCTTGCTACCGGGTATGCCTGGCTTTCGGTGGTACAAAGGGGGTAACATGTACTCTGAACTCTGAACTTCATCAAACAGCGCCTGAAGGCGGGAGCACGGGGCGGAACGGGACTTTGGTGAGCTCATCAATGGGCCTGGACTTTTGAGATCCTTCTTCTCTGGGGAACCGACAATAAGGCTGCTGAGGCGTTGTCTGTGAAGCTGCTCACGATTAGGGTGCCCTTGATGTTTATCCTCATGCAGCATGTGGATAAATGCGACCGACTTGGAGTCAGGTGCCACCTCAGTTGGCGCCCACGTGATGCCAAAGTAGAGGCGGATCGTGTCGCTTAAGCATTGTTTTGATGCCCAAGCCTGCGCCTCCCTGTTGCGTGGTCGGAGCTCGACCTGTTAGTGCTGATGCCTCTACTGGAATTTGGCAGTTTCAGATTGGACTTGGATGCTATCAGGGCGGAGACACCGGCAGAGCTTGCGCCAGGCAATGTCAAATTTGAGAAAGCCGTGTGGGGCTAGGTCCGAATGCCCCTCGTCGTTGATGGGGGATGATGCGCAGTGTCCCCTGGTGCATTCTCATGTGCGGATCCACGATTCCGTAGGAACTTGGAAGCACGCGTCAGATTCGTTCGCAGGCTGTGCAGTCCAAAACATGTGAGTCCGCTTTGCAACAGTGCATGTATGTGTTGCGAGGTGCGAATGCGGCATGTTGTACACGCCTCGTGATGTTGACTCGTAGTTAGTTCACCCTCTCCTCCCTTTTATATTGTGGTCCATCGGACGGGATTTGAAACTAGGGGCGCCGCGGGTACAACCTTGTAGATACACATGTCACATTGCACTTCATTTGCACTTGTGCGTTTTGGGTGTTGTGAACGAAGCATGTTGCCTGTTGCCGTGCCGGGCCCTCAAGTGTGTTGGTAGCAATGGTGAAATTTTCCTTTCCCGCCTTCCCAACCCTGGGTGATTTCGGGTCCTTTATGGCCAATCTTTAAGAGATGTTGGGCCAAGGATATATGTTGCCGAAAAAACCATGGGGAGAATGTGGAGGGATGTGTAACATCCAGATGTTCCCCATGACCAAGCTGTCCGCTTTCAAGCAAAAAGAGTAGCAAAAAGAGTGCAGCAAACACGCTTGTGTTTGACTGATTGAGTGATTCTCATATATACATATATCTGAGAATATTACTTTCTGATTTTTGAAAGATTGCCATACAAAGAATATAACTTTTGATTCAGAAAGATTTTAATACAAAAGTTTTTTGACAATTCGTACAGACATATAATTGGTTTTGTGAAATTAAACTCTAATTAAACCATTGAAAACCAGATTGCGCGGCTTTCACGAATTCATGCTTTGCTAATATTTGGCTTTATAGCGAAGGGCTCTGGACGTTTAGAATTTTGCTAAATTTGGTTGAGATCCTTTATTATTGAAGCCCTTGGGCCTTATAGATTTAAAATGATTTTAAGTGAAATCCTTTATTGTTTGAGCTCTTGGGCCTTTTTAAATTTAGATAAAGTTAATGAACATTTGACGGATTCATAGCTCTGTAGCTTATGTTCTCTTTGCAGCTCCAGAATTCCACACCCTACAGGCCTTAAGCCCTAATACTAACGACGAAGGACGGTGGCTATCGGATCAACTGCCCCGAGGTAAGTCGAAGTACAACCTAAACCCTAAGCCCTGAAGCTCTAAACCCTAAAACCCTAAAAACAAAACCATCAACCCTAAAGCTCTTTACCCTAAAGCCGTAAACGCAAAACCCTAAAACCTAAAGCTCTCCCTAAAACCTAAAGCTCTAAACCCTAAAACCCTAAACGAAAAACCCTAAAGCTCTGAACCCCTAAACCCCTAAACGCAAAACCCTAAACCCTAAAGCTCTGAACCCTAAAACCCGAAACGCAAAACCCTAAACCTTCTCGGTTCGACCCCCATGTTCCAACCCTCAGGCCCTAAGGGTCCAAGCACCAAACAACCTACTGACGCTTAAGGCGGTGTGTGGGGGGGGTGAACCCAGGTACCATTATAGGGTTTAGGGTTTACGGTTTAGGGTTCAGAGTTTAGGTTTTAAACCAGTATAGGGGTACATATGGAGGTTACACAGGCCCCACTCTCTACTTGCAGCACTTGTTGTACGGGCCTGGGGCAAATGCATGAACACATATACTAGTTATTGGGTACCTGGACCCTTGTTGTAATTCATGGTTACTGTGTGGCGCTTTACCCGTGGTGCCGTAGTGACGACAATAGCACTTCGAGCTCTAGTGACTCACATTGTGGAGAACTACCAATGAGCTTTCAACGTGCAAACTGAATCTTATTCCGGCTCGTGTGCATGTGGAAGTTAGCTAGAAGTGCTGTTTGCAAAATGGGCGAGAACTTACATTCAAGAACTCATAGATTGTTTGTAGCTTTATAGCTTCAAGCTGTGGGCATTTACACAAAACTTTTGACATTTTCCGGAAAGTCCAAGCGGCTGGCGGAGTGAATCATTAATCCGAACCGTCAAAACATTTCCTTATCGAGGATCCGTGGCCGGGTTGGACTAACCTAACCCCCCACAGAAATTGACGGAACCTATGATTTCTAGTAATCCTGCAAAAGCGGTTTATATGGATCTGGTTGCTCT